GTGGGGCCCGGCGAGGGTTGCGGGAGGAGTAGCCGTGCCCTCTGTGGCCGCGGGCGGGCATCATTTCTTGGCGGCCTGTCTCCTGCCGGTGGACGGCTTCTTACTGCCCCTCCTGATGGTGTCCAGGGGACGCAGCTCCACCTCCAACGGCTTTGTCCTGAATATCGAGAGAGAGAAGGGGACGCTGTGAGTGGGTGGAAGGGCAGGTCTGGTCTGAGCCCGGAGCTCGAGGGGCCTGGCCCTGTCTCTTGCACAGGTCGGGCCTGGGTGTGGCTCCGGCCTGGGGTCCTGGTGCACCTGGGACCTGTCTATGCGATCATAGTTTCGCTGTTTCTCTTCAGGAGAAACGTGTGACCCCCACGCCTTGCAGAACACATGACTCGTTCCCCGTAAGCCCTGCCAGGCCTGGGACTTCGGGCGGCCTGGTGCATTGTCGCCAGCAGGGAGGCAGCAGCCGGGCCGTCTGCACCCTCACAGACAGCGGGCGGGCTGCGGGCTTTCCACTGCCAGTCTACGAAGGCCTCGGTCTCCATGGCCCGGACCTTGCCAGCAGCTGGTGGGAGCAGCCAGCCTCGACGCCGCGGTGGTAGAGCAGGCCGGGCATCAGGGACTGCTGGAAAGGACCCGCGCCTGGCGAGGGTGACTTGGCCCAGCCGCTGCACGGTGGCCTTGGTGGTCTGCAGCGGTGCCAGGGGCCCTGGGGCAGCCACACCCATGCTGCCTGCCCAGGCAGCGTGGCCACCTACTTCTCAGCTTCAGGAAAGGACTCCTTGTCCGCCTTGTCCCCCAGGCCCAGCGAGGAGAAGCTTTCCTGGACCTGGACATCCTCCAGCATGGCTCTCCTGGCTGACTCCGGGTCCTCCAGGCTCAGCATGGCGGTGGGGACACTGCAGAGAGGACAGAGCAAGGAGGGCGGGATCAGCAGGGAGAGCCCACTTGGGGTGACCCCCTCCATGCTTGGGGCTCCTGGGACACAAGGCCCAGTGCATCTCTCCTGAAGGTGGCAAAGGGGGCCCGGTGACACGATGCCCAGCTCGACTGCCAAGAGCCCGGCCCATTTTTTTTTTTTTTTTTTTTTTTAGGGCGTGGGCACTTGCTAGAGACAGAGAGAGGGGAAGTGAGATATCACCCCCCAGGGGGGATGGCGCCGCAGTCCCTTCTCTTCCATTCTCCTCTCAGGATTTTGGGCGCGCATGCACACGCGCCCGGCATGAGTTTCAAGTAGCAGGTGATGTGGTTAAAGCACTGGATTTCCATGTGATTGACTACAGTTCAAGTCCTGGGCCTGGTGGCTTGAAAAATTATGCCAGGCTGGGACCAGCTGTTAGCATAATGGCTATGTCGCTGGATTTCCATTTAGTCGACCGCAGTTCGAGTCCTGGACCCGGTGGCTTAAACTCACACTGGGTGTGTGTGCGTGCGTGCCCAAGGTCCCGAGAGGAGAGTGGAGGAGAAGGGATTGCGGCATGGCCATCCCCCCTGGGGGGTGATTTCTCGCTTTCTGTCTCTCTGTCTTTCTGGTGAGTGCACGTGCCTTATAGCAAAAACCTCTAAAAAAAAGAAGAAAAGAAAAATTACGCCAGGTTGGGGCCAGCAGGTGGCATGGTGCTTAAACTTGCTCGATTCCCACATGCCTGGCCATGGTTCAAGTCCTGGACCTGGCAGCTTGCTTTCTCCCTTTCCCTTTCTCTCTCTATCTCTGTCCAAGTTAAAAATAATAATAATAAATGGAATTAAATAAATAATTCTTAAAAAGAAAAGAAAAATCGTGCCAGGCAATATGTGCATGCGTGCCCAACATCCCGGGGGAGAATGGAGAAGGGATCGTAGAGTGGCCAGCCCCCTGCGGGTGATTTCCCATTTTCCGTCTCCCCGTCTCTGTCTCTATGGCGAGTGTATGTGCGCTATTGGCAAACACTTTAAATAAATAAACCAACGAAAGGCGAGAAATACTAGAACAGGGTCACCGAGTCTTGGACATATCGACAATGTTTAATTTAGCAAGCTAATGCCTCTCCCCGCACCCCGTCGTCCGGCCCCCGCCCTGCCCTGCTCCACGGGGGAGCAGCACCTGATAAACAGGCCTTCCACACACCTACACACCTCCTCGGAGACAGGGAGGGCGAACCTCAGCCCCTCCTCAAAGGGCGCTGTGTGCAGGTGCGGGACACCAGCCCAGGCTGGGTGAGGAGGAGGTCTCTGTGTCTGCTTGGCACGGGGAATGCAGGGGGTGCAGGGGGGTGCAGGGGAGTGCAGGGGAAAGGTCCAGAAGGCAGCATGCCCCTCCAGTCTGGACACCAGCGTCATCCCCCCACAGAGCAGGTACTTCCTGGGCCCACCCCCAGAGTGGGGTTCCAGGAACAAGCACTGCCCGACCATGGGCCCACCGTCACCTCCAGCCCTGCCGCCCAGCCCGGCCCCTCCTGGGCGCTGGCCTCCTAGACGCCCTCTTCCTAGCCTTGCTGTCCCCTCTGCAGGGTCCCTGTGCTTGCCCGAGGGCTCATCCCCATAGGTCTAGCCTCATCTCTCCCAGAGCACCAATCTGTGGCCCCGAATTCCAGAGTAAGCCCCAGCCCCGCACGCTGCCTGGCTCGGGGACCATCAGTGTCTGGCCCTGACAACCAGCATGGCTTTTTTTGGGGGGGAGAGGTTTTTGCTATAGGGCACGTGCGCTCTCCAGAGAGACCGAGACAGAGAAACAGAAAGCGAGAAATCACCCCCCAGGGGGGATGGCCACGCCACAATCCCTTCTCCTCCATTCTCCTCTCGGGATCTTGGGCACGCACGCACACGCGCCCGGCATTGAGTTTAAGCCACCGGGTCCGGGACTCGAACCGCGGTCGACTACGTGGGAGTCCAGTGACATAGCCGTTACGCTAACTGCTGGTCCCCAGCATGTTCTTCTAATGGCCCCTCCTGGCAGCCCCCATGAAATCTACAGTCCTGCTCACAGGTCCCCTCCCCACAGTGAGTTGTGTCTTCACCCATCCTAGCACCTGCCTGGTGCTCCCCCCCCAATGCCTCTGCTGGGCCTCTGACTTAGCCTCCCACGTCCCCTCCTCTATGAAGCCCTCCCTGACTCACAGAGGCCTCACTTGCTCCACAGTCCTCATCGCTCAGAGCTTTCCCTCCCTGTCTGTCACGGTGCCCGGCTCCCGGCTCTGTGAACTGTCCAGAGGGAAGATTCCATCTCGGGACCTCGGCACCACCAGTGTTTGGCCCTCAGGAGGTGTAAATGCAGCCATGAATGGACCAGAGTTGGCCCCCATCAGAGGGCCAGCCGGCCGTCCTCCTGGGTGACAGGGACGCTGTCCCTGCTGACAGGAGGCCAGGTGTTTAGAGACAGGCTCTGGGCCACACTTGGTCCGGGAGCAGTGGGAAGGCCCTCTGGGGTCTGCTCCAGCCCGGCTCCGCGCCAGCAGGGCCAAAGCCCCCGCACCCACGCCCTCACCACAGTGAGGAGGAGCCGTGAGCCGGAGCTGGCTGGTGGGAGCTGAGCTGCCTTCCCGACATAGAGGCCGGCCCCGTTTCTGAGCCCTTGTGCCCTTCAGGAAGCCAACACCTGTCCCCTCGGTCCCATTCTGGTCCCCAGTCCGGGAGACCGGTGGTTTAAACCATCTTCATCCACACTGAGGCAGGGCCATGACACCTGGTGAGCCCAACTCAGTCCCTTCCCAACTCTAATCAAGCCCTCCCAGCTCAAGAACCGTCAATGGCTCCCTATTGCCGTTAGGATCGAGTCACCGGAGCCCACCCTGACATGCCTGTCCCCACCTAGCCAGTTCCTGCTTACCCTTCAGCAGGGGTTTCCTTGGGCTGAGGGAGGTGCTGGCATGAACAGGTGGGAGGAAAAACCGTCCCTCAGGTCAGGGTCACCAGTGCTGGCTCCTCACTGCATCCCTGGAGGGGTCCTGGTGGGTGCAGCTGGAGAGGGAGTGGGTGCCCCGCACCGCTGGCCCAAGGCGAGACCTGGCTTTCCTGGCCCTGCCCCCTCACCCTTCTCCTGCCGGCCCCTCCTAGCCTGCTCACCTTCCCTCTGCTCTTTATTTATTTACTTTTTAAGAATTATTTATTTATTAGTATTATTAATTTGTCGAGAGAGAGAGAGAAAGGGAAAGTGAGAAAGCAAGTGGCCAGGTCCGGGACTCGAACTACATGCAGCCCTATGAGAGTCCACGCCACCTGCCGACCACCCTCCCGCTCTTCTAAAGTGGGCAGGAGGGTCGCTGTCACGTGGCACGGCCGTGAAGAGCTTCCCCTCACGTGCAGACAGCGCTTTTCAGTTTACAGAGCCTCTGCGGTGTGGCTCGTATGGCGGGCCCAGGTCGCTCGGCCCTCGGGGGTCACAGAGAGCACCTGTCTGTGCAGGCGTCGCTGCAGGCGAGGTCCCCGCGTCCCAGCGCACTGGACAGTGGGTATCGCTGCAGGCGAGGTCCCCGCGTCCCAGCGCACTGGACAGTGGGTACAGGCCATCTCGCGCTCTGCAGGCCAGAGGGTACCCTACAGTTCTCAGGCCGTTCACGGGGCTCGCGGGCGCTTCCCGAGCGCTGTGCTGATAGGCACAGCAGGTCGGGGGGGCCCAGCAGGGCACCGGTCCCACCCAGGGCAGGCTGTGGCCCCCAATGCCCTCGCGATGTGTCAGCAGGTGGCAGCTTACAAAGGGCTTCTCATTCCAAGCTCGTGCCATTTGCAACGTGCCCTGTGGCCTCCTGGGCACATGACAGTTTGCACAGGGCTCTGCGGTGCATGGGGCACCTCGTCATGTCCAAGCTGAGCTCCCTGACAGCCTTTGGTTTTCCCAACTCACTCCCCTAAGATGGTCCTAAAAGAATTATGCCTGATGGGACCAGCGGTTGGCGTAATGGCTACATTGCTGGACTCCCATGTAATCGACCATGGTTTGAGTCCCGGACCCGGTGGCTTAAACTCACGCTGGGCGCGTGTGCATGCGTG